CCTATTCTCCTTCCTTGAATTCAGACATGAGAGCTACTTTGTGACCATGAAGAAAAGGTTAGAATAATAATTTGTTTTGGAGGGGAGAAAAAGTCTATTTCAGTGACTGTTATCTACCTAGAGCTGAAAGCATCTGCCTCTGTCACAAGTCACAGGGGACGACATGCAGCCAGTGATTTTAGGAAGTTTATAGATTGCAGAAAGCAGGTGACACTATATTGATGGGTGACTCTGGGAGGTGAAGGTCAAAGGTTCTCCTGGACAAAGTCTCAGGAAGTTATATTGCTTATAGCTGGCAAGTAAATTCTACCAGACTTGAAGGCCTTGGGAAACTAAAGCCAGGACTGGGGCTTAAGAAAAGGGATCCTTGTTATCCACACCTCCTGTGTGCTGTTACCCCAAAGTCATGCTCCCTAGTGCAAATTGGAAGCAAACCACTTCTGTGACAACTATTGCCTACTTCTGAGTTATGGGCAGCTCAGAAGACCTTGATCCTGAGCGAGTTCAAGCATTCTGTGGTAGTGGCAAATAAAAGTGGTTTGTGGAAGAAAATAACATCACCTTAGGCTCAAACTCTTTCTACAAATAGTTTTTAAAATACCACATCCAGCAGTCAAAAATAACTAAGAATATATAGGAATGAGAAACAGAAGAAACATTTATAGGCAACAGAAATATCCATTAGGGCTCCTAATACTAAAACTATCAGACATAAAAACTTTGAACTAAGTTTACTATGCTCAAGTAAATAAAAAGACTAAATTAAGAATTCAGCAGCAAATTGGAAATCTTAAAAATGAGAAGGCAGATTTTTTAAAAAAGAATATCATCGGGGCTGGGGATGTGGCTCAAGTGGTAGCGCGCTCGCCTGGCATGCGTGCGGCCCCAGGTTTGATCCTCAGCACCACATACAAACAAAGATGTTGTGTCCACTGAGAACTAAAAAATAAAAAAAATAAAATAAAAAAAAGAACATCATCTCTCTCAGATATTGGAAAAATGAAAGAGGATATAATCAAAGAAGAGAACTAAAGGATGTCACAAGTCTATCCAGAGAATGAATAAAAGACAAAGATGTGGAGCTCTGGAATCTTCAAAACACCAACCTAGGATCTCAAAAGTACTTATAAAGCAATGCAACAACTCAGGATGCTGAAAGTCTATGGAAGAATATGTTCAATGATCTAAAGGGAATTGATTCTGAATCCAGCATTACCCAACTGAAAATACTGTAATAAAACTAAAAAATAGAATAAAAAACAGAGGAGGCCACTGTACATGCCAAAACCTTTAATGTCTTATGAGGAATGACCTTCCAAACTTTCTCACCTTCGCTTCTTTCATTCTTTTATTGCCACTCAGCTCAACTGTTTCTTTTCTTTTTCTATCTTTTATTACTGGGGATTGAATCCAGAGATACTTTTCTACTGAGCTATAACCCTTTCTGTCTTTATGTTGAAACAGGGTCTCACTAAGTTGTTAGGGCCTTGCTAAGCTGTTGAGGCTGATCTCAAACTTGGATTCTTGTTGTCTCAGCCTCCTGAATCACTGAGATTGTAGCTACTAAGCACCACTATACCTGGCTCTTTTTATATTCTAAGTTCTCCCACCCTGGACCCTTTGCACTTACTTGCTTTTTCCTCTGGGGGAATGTTCTTCCCCTGAAATATATGCATGGTTTCATTCCTCCTCTTTTCTGGTCTCTACTCAGTCAAGGTGTTTTTGGTCACACAACATGAAATAACATCCCACCAACACTACATATACCCCCTGCCTTCTTTACTTTTTTCCATAGAATCCAACACACCCAAAATATTATATATTTTCTGTTTTTATGTTTATTTTTGTCTGTTTCTCTCCACAAGAATTTAGATCCATGAAGTTGGGGACTCAGTTTACTGAGTTGCCCCATGCCTAGAATATGCCTGGCCAGATTGGATACTCCATCAGTAATTTGCTGAATGACTGAATAAAGCTGTGAGCTACCTCTTAGATCTATACTTTCTCCCATCTCTTGCCAATTTGCTCCTTTCCTGATTCACTCAGTAACACTAGCATCTATCTTTGCCAGTCGAAAAATTTGGAGGCAACATGTTCATAATTCTCTCTCCTTCCACATTCATTCAATGACCAAATCTTGGTGGTTCTGATTGCTAAATACATAATGAATCTGTTTCCTTGCTCACTCCATAGCCACTACATTGATCCAAGTCACCTTCATCTATTTCTGGTACTGGTGTAAAAGACACAATGACTATTTTTCTATACCAACTCTGGTAGTCCTAGAATATTCCAGTTCCTCAAGAAGTCTCTGTCATCTATCTCCTGCATGTTTCTCCTATCTTACCTCTCTTATTGCCCACTAAAATGTGGCTTAAAAATGTGCCAAGCCCTCTTTGCCTTCACTATTATCTCCATCAGAAAATGTTCTCCCAGATCTCTGCAGCTGGCGCCCTCTCATTCTTGGGTTTCATCTGAAATGTCTTCTTCCAAGCTATTCCCTGCTAATCATTCCTGGCCACTCCTATCTCATTACTCTGCTTATTTTGTTCTTCACACTAATCCACAGTATCAAAGTACCTTCGTTCACTGGACTGTGAGGCTCACAAGGGAATGGAGGTAAGTATCTTTCCTTTTTAGTACCAAACCCAGAGCATTCTACATGCAGCTTTCCTCAGCATGAATGTGAACAGAGCTCTCCAGGCTCCTGATGCCCAGAGCCCAACTTCTGCCTGGTTGTGGAGTGCCAGCATGTTAGCCTCTCATTGATGCCAGGGCCCAGGGTAGGGTGCTAGAGAAGTGTCACAGGGAGGAACTTCAAACATTTTATCTTATTTTTAAAACCTTCACCTTCATGTTTCAAGAGAATTCTTGAGGCAAGAATTAAAGAAGCACCTACCACTACTGTTGACTCCCACTGGCTTCCAGTGGAGCAGTGAACCGGACCCAGTAAGTCCTTGCATATTTCTCGAAGACGGTATTCAAACCCTAATTATAGAAAAATAGAACAACAAAAACAAAAACAAACAAACAAAAAACAGAAATAGGAACACATTATAAAAAGAAATAAAAATTTGAAAATATGCTAAATTGCTGTGTATATCACAACAACAGAATGAACACTTATTTTATTGCCTACTATGGGCAAATGCTTGTGTTTCTCAGTTTAGGGCATCGAGGGCCACAATCACAGATTTACATTCATTCACCTGTATCCCTAACTATGTATACAGAACCTTCTCTGTGTGCTGGGCCCACAGGAAAACCAGACATGGCCAGTTTTGTGATGATGAACTCCCCACAGTGGTGGAAAATATGGGAAACTGTGGAAGGAAGGGTGTGGGCTGGTGGAATCTGTTTGAGAGAAGACATATCAGCAGCTGCTGTGAGAGGAGATGAGAAGGAAGCAGACTGTGAGGGCCCAACTGCAGAGTGGTGACTGAGAGTCAGAATTACTGCTGTAGTGGGTGCAACTGCCAGAAAGGCTATGGAAGCAGAGTCTGAGGACTTAGGCAGCATTTGGGGGCATGCCTAGGAAACAGATGGAATCAAAGGGTACAGAAAAGGAGGAATGAACCCTGAGGAATTTGGAAAGTGAATGAGGTCTCCTTCTAACACATGATTCCTGCTCTTCTACTTGAGAAAACAAGGGACAGAAATGAGGGAAGGGGTCCTGGTATATTATCTAGGGAAAAACAGATGTATAGAAGATGGAGAAATAAATATAAACAGTAGAAGTGACCCTACAAACAGGTGGTAAAGCTTAGAGGAAGAAGTCTTTATGTGGAACTCAGAGTGAGTACTGCTAAATACCTAGGATAAGGTAAACCAAAGAAGAAGGCAAGGAGTGGGGGTTTTGGAAAAGATGGGGCATGAGGTTCAAGATGTAACTTGAGTACCCTAGGTATCAGAACTAAGGAAGGTGAGTATTTAGGAGAGCTGGTACATACCAGCCAGCCACATGGACTGAGTGGGAAGAGTAAACATCAAACTTATCACTGGAGTTGCTGGGGAAGGAGTTAGGGATCAGTAATGTTTGTTGTCATTACAAGTGTATATAAACACACACTCTTATATTTACAAAGTAGGAGGAAAACATATAAATTCTGAGAGTATATTTGCAGGTGTTTTGTACATTTTTTTGTACTTAATATTTTTCTTTAAATCATAATCAAAATGGGAAAGTGATGACAAGAACAAAGCAAAAGAGCCAAGGAAAAGATATGGAAGAAGTTCTGGAAGGGGCTGGGACACAGGGAGAGCTTTGGGAGGGCCAGTCCTATGCCACAATCCTTGGAGGCTATGCTTGAGGGAAGAAGAATTGGTAAGTCAGGACCAGATGCTTGCTCAATGAGAGATGAAAGTCTGTTAGAGGTTACTTTGAAGATAGTACAGCCTCTCTTCCAGCACACTTTGCTTTCTGTAGGGTATACCACCAAGAGGTCATAGGTGCTCTGATAGCCTTAGCAGGATCAGGCTGGAGGACCGTGGCTAGAGGGTCATTTGGAATTGCTGGGCAGCAGATAGGCTGTCCAGAGCAGGAGGGACTCAGAGAAGGAAAAGAAATGCTGCCAGAAGATGCCTTTGCCTTGAGTGACAGGCCTTGGTGGCAGACAGGAGCCAGAACATCTAGTCTGGTCCTATAAGGCAGGTCTTTCCATGCATGTTTCCATCCTCCTTCCCCACTGCCAACCTCCCTGTCTTGTTCCTCTGAAGAACATCCTCAAGCCTACTCTACTCAGGGCCTGGAGCTCATGACAGGGCTGAATGCCTACGAGCTGCCCTGATTATAGCTCAGGCTGGGAGGTGGGAGTTGTGGTCCCGCTTGCTGTCAGGGAGGCCAGAGCCTTTGGGGACAACCATGGGGGACCTATAAGGAATGCAAAGGAGTTCAGAGAGCTCTAGGCCACTACATCTCTTCTTTGATTCCCAAGGACTAAGCTAGGCCTTAGAAAATAGAGGAGCAAATGGAGAAGGCCACTTGGATCACAGGACCTCACCTTCATTCACGAGGTACCGTGCATAAAGAAGGAGCCAGTGGCGGTACTCATGGCTGGACTGTAGGGTGAGTGCCGCTGCAACCTGGTTCTCTAGGTAGGCCAGCGTGGTCTCCTGCTGTACCACATGAGGCACGGAGAAAAGCCGGGTAGCTTGCCTTCCAGAGCTGTAGAGACCAACAAAGCAGGCAATATGAAGCAGAGGGCAATGTTCAGGAATGCTCCCACATGCTCTAGGGTACCGGGACAGAGCTTGCAGGGGTGGTAGGCATCTGGTTGTAGAAGTCCTCCCATCTATCAACCAGTTTATTGGCAGGTGCCAGAGACTTTTGTTGACCTGCCCATCATCACATCCCAGTTTTGGGCTTCTTAGTACTCCAAGAATATTCTACAGTGCACCTACCATCTAGGTCTCTGGGATGATAGACCAGTGGTCGATTCCCCACCCACCCTCCCAAAATCCTGCCCCATATAGGTATTTATGACATTTAGCATCCTCAGACTATAATCTGGACCCCTGAAGTGACAGGGCCTATATTCCAGCCAACCATGAAATATTACTTGTTATGGATCCACAACCTTAGAGACCCCCCCACTCCTTCCACCCCCGATTTCTGTGTTGAGCAGCAACTGGGGTACAAAGACAGACAAACAGAGACTAGGCCTGGTTTCCTCCCAGGGCAGCCCTGTTGATAGTGGCCAAAGTTCTCAGCTCACATACTTGGAGGTGCGGCCCTGGATTATGGCTAACGGTCCTGAGCACAGCATGGCATCCTGGGATGGCAGGCTGCTCCTAAAGTCCGCACATTGGGCTAGTGAGTCTTGCTTGTCAGAAACCAGGTTCCTGAAGAATCAAAGACAGGATCAAAGGTCAGAAAAATCAGGAGGCCTACCAGAGGAGGCTGTCAAAAAAGCCACAGAGGCTGGGGTTGTGGCTCAGTGGTAGAGTGCTCGCTTAGCACATTTGAGGCCCTGGGTTCAATCCTATAGCACCACATAAAAATAAATAAAATAAAGGTATTGTGTCCAACTACAATTAAAAAATAAATATTAAAAAAAAAAGCCAGAAAGAAGTAAGCCCCTCTGGGCACAGTGGCGCACCCTCGTAATCCCAGTGGCTTGGGAGGCTGAGACAGGAGGATCTCAAATTCAAAGCCAGCCTCAGCAAAAAGCGAGGCACTAAACAACTCAGTGTAGATTCTGTCTCTAAATAAACTGCAAAAAACAGGGCTGGGGATGTGGCTCAGTAGTCAAGTTCCCCTGAGTTCAATCCCCAGTACCACCTCCCAACCCCCCAAAAAGAACTAAGCCCCATCCACCACACTGGCAGCACACAAACAGAGGCTGACAGTTACTGCACTTCAGTACAAGAAGCCCATTAACTGGCAGGTTTCCTAGTTAAGAGCCTAATAAATTATATTTTCAAGGAAAGGTTACTGATAGGGTTCTCACTATGAATATTTTAGCTTCAGTCTCACTTCCTGATGACTAAGGTGTTACTGTGTGTGAAGTATGTTTTGGATGCCTGGCTTACACAAGGCTGTGGCCTACCCAGGGCCTGTGTGGCCTGGGTCTGTTACAACTCCAGGGAAAGCCAGTCTCTAGCATTTCTATGCCTCTCCAGCATCCCCAGGAAGGCAGTTCTTCTACCTCCTTAGGACTATTCTGTTAAGAAAACATTCTCCAGATACTTTTTTTGAGATGGGATCTTGCTCTGTTGCCTACATTAGACTTGAACTTGGGATCCTCTTGCCTTAGCCTTCAGAGTAGCTGGCACTATGGGCATGCATTATTGTAATCAGCTTTCCACACATTTTAAAAACAGCTAGTTGTCTTTATAAATGTGTACAAAATACAAGGATGACCATAAAAAGTCGACATGTCTTTTTTTAATAATCAGCTCATTTCCATTATTATGGTAATCACACATACTCACAAGCTTTTTGCAATTTGAGAGGGTAGGCGACAGAGTTTTTTTGTTTTTTAACTGAATAATAAAGTACTTGGCAAGTTTTAACAGAAAATGGGCTAGAAGATAGCAAACATAAAAAAGGGGCTCTAAATTCAAAACTGAACAAAGGAAAAAAAATCATCCATATGGGTGAGTTTGTTTCCACCATTACTAATTACTGAGGGGCTACTTTGCTCCTACTAAGTTCACAACATTGACTAACATTGGCAAGGCTACTATGAAGCCAACTCTCCTATGCTGGTGCTGGTTAAAGAGGCCAGTCTGAAAAATATCTGTCAAGAATCATAAAAATTTCCAAATACCTATTCTAATAAAACAGGCTCAAGGGATGGGGATATAGCTCAGTGTTAGGGCTAATCTAGCATGAATGAGGCCCTGGGTTAAATTTTCAATATTGCAAAGAAACAAACAGATTAAACACACACACACACACACACACACACACACACACACACACACACACACCCCACACACACACACACACATATCCCAAAAACCAGCCCCAGAAAATAATGCAGCAGGCCATTCTCCTGTGTACAGGCTCTGAGGGCAGAGGCCATAGGCCAGCAGCAGCCCACAGTGATGGTAGAGTATATACTAGCTGCCATTCAGAGTTCAGAGCCTGACTCCCAAGACCTGAAGCCTTTGCTCAGCTGTCCAGTATAGACAATCCCATGAAGCAGGGGCAGGGTGGGGATGGAGTTTCTTACCACGTAGAGAGTGACGGATTAAAGCAGTACGCTTTCCCATCAGATAGGTTCATCACTGGGATTCCATGCTGCGTCAGCAAGATCTGTGACACTGTCATATCACTTCCTGGGGGACACCACAGGAATAAGTTCTGGTGTGTTCTGATCAGCAAGTGTTTGCATCTAAGGAGAAATCTGAACCCTGGCTCCCATGATCCCAGCAATAAGGTCTTTAATGATGACTTGGAAAAGAGGGAAGGCTACTTATAGTGCTCTGTGTGAGCCATTTTCACTAATATTCAACAAGATCTTTCTTATCTCTCAGGGACCCATTGAATCTTTTGCCCAGAAAACCTGTCTCCTTGCTATGTAAGTGTATCCTGTCTCATTTGGGCTGGATCCTGAGCCTGGCTTTCTATCTAGGCTGAAGTGGCCCATGTGCATCAGATCTAGGTCTCAGTCCCCAAGGGAGGAGGGGTCCGCAGGGGTTACCTGCCAAGATGGAGTGTAGAGACTCTTCTTTCACCACAACCACCTGCCTGTGAACATCCCTAAGAGGGAGACAGGGAACAACTTACTCTCCACCTGAGATAAACACATCAAAGTGTGTCTCAGCCACTCAGGTACCCTGGTCCCTACAAACAAACCCACAGCCCTCCATCCAGAGGTCCCAGGCAGCTGTCTCCAATGCCCACACCCATTCTAGGAGAAGCCAGCTACAGAAGTCATATCAGGAGTGTGGCCACCTTTGCCATCTGGATCCCACTGCTGATGAATCCACCTAAGGACCCTGGCACATGCCATTAGGCAGTGTAATTTGTCATGCAGTTTGTTCCTGTAAGGATGTCAGCAGAGCAGGTTGGCTGACTTATTTCCCTTTGCATTGCCTCCTTAATCCTTAAGCCACAGGGGCAGCCAACACAAGCAGTGTTGCTGACTTCTCAGGGCCTCCTCCTGAGCCCAACGTCTGCCTTTTCTGCTGTGTTCCCTACCCCTGCAGTGAGGTGGGAAATGCATAGCACTGTCTTGCATGAAAACCACCCCACCCTGTGCCTGCCTCTCACCAGACAGACAGTGTAGCTGCAGCAGTGAGCGCCATGACATAGGAACCTGTGCAGTGCAAAGTAGAGATCGGGGACGGCAGGAGGATGGGAGGGAGGAGGCGGCGACCACAGGTGGAGAACACCGACAGCGTCCTCTTTTCACAGGCGACACACACCACATCACTGTGAAGGCAGAGGAGGGGCAGATGTCACAGGGACCAGGTGCTGCAGCAAAGGCAACAACCAGGTTGATGCAGAGCATTCCCTCTGCCTGCTTCTGACATAGCATTCTGCTGAGTAAATGAAGCCAGAGAGGGAGGCCAGAAGAAGTTGTACAAGGACTAGGTTGGGGTGGGAACAGCAAGGCAGAGCCTACCTGAGATTTCCTGAGAGACTTCTGTTCTACTCCTGCCCATATGGCTATTCATACTTTTCTAAGCTAACAAGGAGTGCAAGGGCTTTGGAGTACCACAGCCGTACATGATGGTCACCAGGAAGCATGCCTCACTCATCAGATGAGGAGGCCACAGAAAGTCCATGTGACAGTCTCCTGGGTATCAATACCAGAGAAGTCCAAACAAGGTCTCTGCTGAGGCAGGCTGGGAGAGTATGGGGAACTGATACAAGTCACCACAAGTGATGCCAGCAGTGTACTCAGAGGGCTGTTATGGTTGAGCTTGGAGAGGCGTGTCACTCTGAGCAAGAAATGCTTCAGAGAAGATGTTTCCATTCCACAAACTGTCCAATGCCTCCCTTGAGTGATTATTAGACTCCTTAGGTAAGCCCAGCACAAGCAGGCTTCTGCCATTTTAGCAAGGGACCGCTGAGGCTCAGTCATAGGTGCAAGAGGCTAGAACTCAGACTCCAAGAAGCAGGGGCAGGTATGTAGCCAGCAAGGCCCTGACCATAGCAGACCATCCTAAGTCCCCTCCAGGACTTTTATCCTGCTGAGCCAGGGCCTATGGTCTACAGTGCCTGTTGTCCCTGTAGGCCGAGAGTAAGAAGGTTGGCTAAGAAAAGAGCTCTGCCAACTTATTCCTAATGTGACATGTTACTGGTCTCTGAAAAGGGAGAAGCAAGTTGAGGATCTTTTGTTTACAAAATGTCTACTTTGAAAGTATGAATCTTGAGAAAACTTCCAGTAGGACCTGGAAGCAGGGAGTTCTCTGTGTTGCTGTGACTGAATTTTATCTGCTCATTTTGATGGTCAGGGCCTTCCTTGAGCCTTGTAAAGGAAGGAGAAATCTGAATCCTGGCTCAGGAAGCTGTTGCTCTAGGCTGTAGCACTAGGGAGCAGGTCTGTAGTCTGGGCCTGAGTAGGTGGGATTATATAGGAGAAGAAGCCCTCGGTTACCTAGCAGGACCCAATAGCTGCTGTGTTGCTATGGGGATGATTGTGCTAATATCCTTGGCCTTCAATTGAGACAGGCCTTCAACTGAGGCATGCCATCTGCCTTGGGATCAGGGGTGGAGAGTGGAAGCTCTTGTAGCACCCAAAAAATAGGTAGCTGGGATTAGGAGCTCTATGTGCTTTTCCTGAAAGATAATTTCAGTGAGAAACACAATGGTGGGGCTCTTCTAGGTTTAGCACTATAAAAATCACTCAGGGCCTATGGGAGTCCTGACCTAAGACATAAGGCCAGTGTTTGCAGACCTGTGTGAAAGCATTTACATATGACCTTATAATAGAAAACTAAGGATCTAATTGAAATGACTGCATCTGAGTGAAAGTCCTTGTAAGGGTTTCTACCTAACTAGGGCCCTATGCCTGGCAGACATCTGAGTCAGTCCTCTTTTCAAATGGAGCACAGGAAAGACAGAGCTCATACTCAGTGCCAGGAGCCCATGGGAAGACACTGTGTAATTAATCATTGAATTAAGATCTCTCCCCAAAGTGAAGAATCTGGGGAGGACAGGGTTGGGGACTTAGGAGGTAGTCATAAAAATCCTGTCCTAACTTATATGAAAATCTGGGTCTAGGGAAGGAAACTACTGAGGTCGGCGAGAGCCAGGCAGACTTCAGCCTGGAACTTGAGACTTTTGAGAATCTAGCCAGACAAAGAAATAAGACACCAGATTCAGGGCCTGGCCTGGGTGGTTCTCAAGACTCAGGTTCCCCATCTATAACATTGGAATAATCATAATGATTTCATTGATGAGGTAGGGACTGATACGAGAAATGCCCATGATTGGCCTGGACTAAGGCCCAATGTGAGCCTCAGTGGAAGCAGTCCTCCCTCAGACAGGCTAAATTCCAGGACAGTAAAAGTGCCACCCAACATAGCTCATGATGTCTACTCTACATGACAAGACAGGTTCCTGCCTGCCCTTACCAGCTGCCGGCAGCAGTGAGGATCCGGCTAGTGAGCACTGTCTCCCACTCCTTTCCTTCCCGGTTGCACTTCAGTCGGCTCAGTTTTACACCCCCCACGGTCGTCACTTCATTTTCCACCTCAATGTACATGGAGGGGTCAGAGCTCACCTAGATGGAAGAAAGCAAACACACATCTTTTCAGGTGAAAGCATGCTTATTCAGACAGTGTTCACAAGACAAGTGAGATGTTCAGGGGCTCTGCAGCCCTGGGCTGTGAAATAGGGGGAAGACACAGACAGGTACTCTAGTTGATTGGCCAACAAAAGAGGGTAACATTTGGTGGGGAGCTGTGCGGGAAACAGGACAGGGCAAGAGGGCCACCATGTCATCTCACAGGGGGATGACTTCCCAAGAACATGCTGAGAGTAAGAACTGCAGCCAACCAGGGACAGAGCTGGGAGTGAGACTTGGATTTCTAGCCTCCTTCTTGAAAGATCTTCAAAAACTGCAGTATTTAGTAAGAAGAAAGCCATTGTTGTACTGGGAGAAAAGTCTAGAAAACTTCAATATTCTCTCTGGCAATGAGTCTCTGTTCATTCTGAGACTATGCTGGTGAGAAAGTCCCCAGCATAGCATGCATGAGAAGTGCCTACTTCAGTGCCTAGCACTAAATGAGCTCAACTTTGTATGTCTGGAGAGCTAACCAACCAAGGCAGAACAGCTTATAAGTTTGTACTGTGTAGTCATACTAGCAGGTATAGCTGGAGCAGATGAAGGGCTCCACTAGGAGCCATATCCCCTTTATAGACACCTAGAAAGCAAGCATAGCCTCAAGTGGCACTCAAAAGTGAAGATATTCAGAGATGGTTTAGTTTGGAAGGGAAGTTTTGAGTTGCTAACTGCTAGAGAAGCTTCCTGTTTCTATGCACATCAGCAGTAAAAACTGGATGGGTCCTACACTTATCCTTTGGCTCCGCCTGTTTCATTCCTCTGTATTATGGCCCACAAAGACCTATGGCTGGGAAGGGCTGATGTCTGCCCTTCATTGCCCTATGAAGTCTAACCTGGGCCTGGAGTAGTGTGCAGTCAATGGGATATGACCCATAGATAGGGTCCAAGAATGTTGCCTGAGGACTTGAGGGTGTGTAGAGAGGTCACTATGGGCAAAGCTGCCAAGGAGGGAGAAGCCTGGACACTGTTGCTGGGTTTGAGGGATTATCTGTTCTACAAATGTGTTTGAATAAGCTCATGGTTATAAGCTTCTCTAAGAGCTCTATCAGCTCTGAGGATGACCCTGTTCCAAGCATCAAGAAGCAGACAGGGGGGCTGGGGATGTAGCTCAAGCGGTAGCACGCTTGCCTGGCATGCGCGGGGTGCTGGGTTCGATCCTCAGCACCACATAAAAATAACATAAAGATGTTGTGTCCACCAAAAACTAAAAAATAAATATTAAAAATTATCTCTCTCTCTCAGTCTTAAAAAAAAAAAAAAAAAAAAAAAGAAGCAGACAGGCCAATGGAACTGTCAGGAGACTGACCCAACAGTTTCATGGACACCAAGACTGAGGCTGCCAGGACGAAGGGTGGAGATGCAGGAGGCCTCCAGGAAACGAGACACCCAAGACAAGTCTTAAAGGGGCTGGTAATCCAGAAGGAGTGATAGTAAGGGCAACTGAGCATTTGGGACTTAAAGGTAAACCATGGAGAAAGAGGCCTAAAGGTGGGAAGGAGAAGAAGCTATTAACATTCTTGCCAAGATTGGTAAGTACTCTGATTAACTATGACTTCCTCCAGAAGGGAATGGAGAGCTACTGCAAACCAGTCCCCAAGGCACTGAAAAGACAGAGTTTATACTAGGAAGATAAATGTATGTACATGCCTTCAAGGGAGTCATTGGAGTGTCCTAGCACTTACCTGGAGGGTGAATGCTCTCTGGGGGCCTGGTATTGGCAGCTTCAGTGCAAGTGCTGGTGCAGTCAGACACATGGCCTCCTTCTCTGCAGTAAGGGTGGCTGGAGACTAGAAGAGCAGAAACATCCTTGAGCCCCACCCCAACACTACAGGGGAAACATTAGGTAAAAGTAAGTCACCCAAAAGTGAGGCTGGGCATTTGTACTTACTGTGAGGGAGAAAGCAAAAGAGAATGCTACAAGTATTCTCACCTCACAGATAAGGGAGCTGACACCAGGAAACTTGCTAAAGGGTTCTGGCTGGACTGAAAGAGGGGTGAGGAAGTGTGGCCTCCGCACTCCATAATACATTCCCTGATGTCTGTATCTAAGCCAAATGGTTCCCAAAGCATCCCATACTGACAAGGTGCACAATGGCAAGAAGGGCCTCCCAGTGCAGAGTCCAGGAAGGTGAGTGGGAGCAGGCAGGATGAATCTCAGGCCTCACCTGGACAGACAGAGACATAGGCAGGAGACGGGAGTCCTTCCGAGGACGCCCCTTTTTCTTCTTTTCCACTGTCTCTACCTCAAGCTCAAGTTTTCGCTTGGATAATGAGGATGGCTTAGCCAAGGGGACCTTTTCATCACTGTCACTGCTGCTCTCTAGGAGATCCCGGGGCCTCAGCTCTTTCACAAGGTTCTGTTCTTTCAACCTGCACAAACAGACACCATGACTTTCTCTACACAACTATTAATTTTGTAATGTTTAAAAATCCATTTTAATCCCCAAATATTGATTGAAAAATTGAAAAGTTATTACTCTTTGTAGATCCATCAGAAAATGGAGGTCAAAAGAAAAACCGACACCCTGAAAACTGAAGATGAATAAAGACAAAAAATGCAGCTAGGGCTGGGGATGTGGCTTAAGTGGTAGCACGCTCGCCTGGCATGCGTGTGGCCCAGGTTCAATCCTAAGCACCACATACAAACAAAGATGTTATGTCCTCCGAGAACTAAAAAATAAATATTAAAAAATTCTCTCTCTCTTAAAAAAAAAAAAAATCCTATTAAAAAAAAAAAAAAAAAAACGCAGCTGACCTCGATTAGAAGCCAAAGTGGGTACTGGCAGACATACTTTCAAAGTTAACAGTCATGTTGCTAGAGGCTGAGCGTGGATAAGATTGAGAGATGAAACTCCTGGTTAAGAGGGTACCCAAGTGTTCCTTATTTTTACTTTCAAGTACCCTTCCAGGTTGTCAGTGTGAAGATTCAGAATGAAGATAATAATTCCCTATGTTCTTTTAGGGTTTGGAGAAGGAAGGTAGACGTTTTGAAACATGACCAGACCATACTCTATAGCCAATTCTGCCCTCCAGTGAAACTACCTTGCCAGAGCTTTATCTCACCTGGAGGAAGGGCAGGCAATTAACCAATCCAAGCCCCTTCTAGCTTCTGCCCTATTCCACCACTATAGGCTAAGAAACTCTTTTGAAAGAATATAGTTAGGACCAGGGATTCATACTAGAGCCCAGGGATTCTGATCCAACAACAACGTAAAAGGGAAAGTTAAGCATGAGATTACAGAATGTTTCTACTTCCTAATACCTCATCATCACATCAGCAAGGCTTCAGTGTAATAATAGTAAATTACAACTGAAAGAGCTGCAAGACACTGACACCAACCCTCCCCCACTTTTTTTTTTTTTAAATGTGATACAGGGGATTGAACTCAGTGGTGGTGTACCACTAATCCCCAACACTTTTTACTTTTTATCTTAAGATAGGGTCTTGCCAGGCTGGGAACTGACCATCTTCCTGCTCAATCCCGTGAGTGGCTGGGATTATATGCATGTGTAATTTGGGTGTGGTGACACCCAATTCATAGACTGTATTTAAAGAGTTTCTAGGGAAACCTAAAGACTACAGACAAAAGGTCACTGGAAGAAACTGAAGCTTCTGACCTACAGTTATAAGAAAGAGAAAACAGCCTAACTCCTAGCCAGATAAACAAAACCTCATGAATGCCTGTATACCTCTTTTCCACTTATCCAATACAATATGCCTAGCTTTACAAGGTATGATAAAAGGCAAAATGAAATAAACCACAACCAAAAAAAAAACCCAAAAGCAAAAGTAAAAAACAAAATAAGAAACAAAAATATACACAATGCTGAGACACAAGAAACAAAAACATACATAGTGTAGAGACAAAGCAGATATCAGAGTTAGGTACAGCAGAAATTTTGGAATTATCATACCAAGATTTTAAATAACTGATAAATAAGCTAAGGGCTCCAATGGAAAAAGTTGAAGAGATGGGAAGTCTCAGAGTTTAATAATAATAATGATAATAATAAAAGCTGAGAATATGAAGAACAAGAATAGCAAAGAGCTTCTCCAAATCAATTAAAGATACCAAAGCATTGATACACAAAGCTCAGAGAACACTTACAAGATAAATACCAAATATCTATACCTAGGCATAACATACTCAAACTATAGAAAACCACAGAAAATTTAGAAGACAGGAGGAAAAAAACCCTCTTTATAAGACAAAAGGATAAACTACATTATATTTTTCCATTCAAGAGAAACCCACTAAGCCACATGCAGTGATGAACATCTGTAGCCCCAGCTACTCAGAGGCTAAGGTAGATGGATCACTTAAGCTCAGAAGTTGGGACTAGCCTGGGAAATAAAGTAAGATCCTGTCTAAGACAAACAAACAAATGCACCAACCTAGAAATCTGTATCCAGTGAAATCAAGCCTCAAAAATGAAGAAGATATAGACTTTCTCAGACAAAAACAAATACCTGAAGGAATCTGTTAGCAGACCTGCCTTGCAAAAAATGTTAGTTCTTTGAAGAGAAGGAAAATAATGTATCTCAGAAAATCATATCTGTATGAGGAAAGGAAAACTGTTAGAGAAGGAATAAATGGACATAAAGAAAATATTTTACTCTTCTCAACTGATCTAAGAGACAACTTTTTATTCAAACTAATAATGGCAACAATGTATTAAATGATTAAAATTTATAAATAAATGAAGTGGTAATAATGTTATAAGGCACAGAAGGAGAAATTTGGAATATTTTGTATTAAGATGCCTGTACTATCCATGAAAGTAGCCTAGATTGATTGCAAATATTCACTGCAAACACCAGAGCAACTGCAAGAAAGTTTTAAAAAGAAGTATAATAATGCTGAGAGGAGAGAAAATGGAATTATATAAAATACTCAATTAGAAATGGAGGGGAAGATAAAAAAATAAAGGACAAATCCAATGAATAGAAACAGTTACCCACACATAGACACTAATCCAACTATGTCAATAAACACTTCAAATGTGAATGCTCTAAATACACCAATTACAGACAAAACGAATGAAAAAAATGTTTTTAAAAGATGGGTTTATATTAAACATTTAAAATTTTTTTTAAAGATGTTGATGGACCTTTATTTTGTTCATTTGTTTATATGTGATGCTGAGAATTGAACCCAGGGTCTCACACATGCTAGGCAAGTGCTCTTACTACTAAGTCACAACTCTAGTCCCTAAACATTTTTTAAAAATATTTTTTCTTAGTTGTAGATGGACACAATACCTTTATTTCATTTGTATAGTTTTATGTGGTGCAAGGGATCGAACCCAGTGCCTCACACATGATAGAGATAGGGCATATAGCTCAGTGGGAGAGGACATACTTAGCATGGCCAAGAACTTGGGTACAATCTAAAGTGCACACACAAAAAAGTAAAGGAATTCCAACTGTTTGACATTCTGCAAGAGGCAAAACTATGCAGACAGTAAAAAGAATCTGTGGTTGCTAGGGATTAAGGGGGAGGGAGGGATTAGTTGGAGGACAAAATTTTTAGGGCAGTAAAACTATTCCTTTTTTTTTTTTTTAAGTTTTTTAGTTATAGTTGGACACAATATATTTATTTTGTTTATTTATTTTTATGTGGTGCTGAGAATCGAACCCAGGGCCCCTCACCTGAGAGGCAAGTGCTCTACCACTGAGCTATAACCCCAGCCCCAGCAAAACTATTCTGTGAAGTACTCTAAGGGTGGACTGAAAACCCATAAAATGAATACCACCAAAACTGAACCCTAATGTAAACTGTAAACTCAGTGATAATAATGTGTTCCACATCAGATTTTGACAGGGTCACATGGGAACTCTAATTTCTACTCAATTTTACTCTGAAACTAAAACTGCCCGAAAAATAGTCTATTTAAAAACAAAAAACAAGAGATAAACAAGAGATAAAGATATGCTAATCTAACATTAATCTAAAAAAGCTATATTAATTTCAGACTAAGTAGGCACCAGAGCAACAAAAGCTAGCAGGAATAAAGAGAAGCATTACACAATGATAAAGGGGTCAGTTATCCAAGGAGACCTAACAATCCTTAATTTGTGTGTGTCTAACAACAGAATATCAAAATATATGTGCCCAAACTAATAGACTACAAGGAGAAATATATGAATTATAGTAGAGATTTTAACATCCCTATAAGAGAAACAGATCTAGTAGATAGAAAATCAATATGGAAATAATTATTTGAACAATATCATCATATGTGTGTGTGTGTGTGTGTACACATACTAGGGAGTTGAACCTGGGGGCGCTTTACCACTCTTTTTTCACTTTGACCCAGTTTCCATGCTGGCCATGAACTTGTAATTCTCTTGACTTAGCTTCCCAAGTAGCTGGCATGTACCATGGTGTCTGGCAATCATTTGGTCTTCACTGACATTTTAAGAAACACTTTTTTCAACAATAGTAGAATATACATTTTTCTCAAGCTCACATGGAATAGTCATCAAAATACACCACCATTCTAGGCCATAACTCTATATGTTCTCAGACCACAATGAAATTAAACCAGACATTAATCACTAAAAGATAATAGGAAAATACCCAAATATTTAGAGATCAAACAGAAATAACATTTGTGGCACAGAGTAAAAGCAATGTGGCAAGAGTAAAAGGGAAATTTAAGGCACTGAATGTATATATTAGAAAAGAAAAAATCTGAAGTCAATAATTTAAACTTCCCCATCATAAAAAACGAACAGTAAGCCTAAAGTAAGCAGAAAAAATTAAAATAAAAATTACAGATATCAATGAAGTTGAAAACATAAAAATAAAAGAGGGGGAAATCAATGAATGAAAAAGCGAATTTTTTTAAAAAGATCAGTAAAATTTTTAAACTTGTAGGCAATTTAATCAAGAAAAAAGGAGAAGACACAAATTACTCAGAAATGAAGATGACATTCTCACTACTGATTTTCATGGACACAAACATCCTAAGAGGAATAAAATTCCTCTTCTTTTCAACACTTCTATTCTCGCATATTTGAATACTTAGATGAAGTATACCAATTCCTTGAAAGAAATCTACCAAATCTACCAAAACTCACACAAGGAAAATTTAGATCATTTGAATAAATCTTTATTTATTAATCAAATGGATTCAACAATTAATAACCTTCCAAGAAAGCATGAGGCCTAGATTGTTTTACTAGTGATTTCTATCAAACATTCAAGGAACAAATTATGTCAATTCTCTACAATCTGTTATAGAAAATAGAAACAGATGAAATATTTCCTAATTCCTATGAGGCTATCGTTATCCTAATACCAAACCCAGATAAAGACATTACAAAATAGAAAAACTCTTAACAGATGGAACATCTCTCATTA